GGCCCTTGTGATTTGATGCCAGGCTGATCCCTCTGGTTTTCTTGATGGCTTTTTGATGGCCATGCATGTCCTCTGGCTCAATCCCTGGCTGGGGTTAGGGTTAGGCTCTGTTCTTTGCTCCTCCTGTTACAAGTGGGGCTTCTCCATAGGCACAGCCACACTGCACCCATCTCATCCAGACAACATCCCTCCAATGGGACACCCAGTGCGGCTGTCAACTTTTACATGGAATAGCAATGTCACCAGGTGGGAAAATACTGACACAACGCAAGCGTGACTTGAGGAAACCATCTCCTTATTCCTCTCCCAGGCCAGGAAGATCAGACAGGACCTGGGAGCTATTTAAACATCTTCCCACTGAAGCCCATCACCGCATACGACCTGGGCATGGCTCTATCCCTCCCAAGGACCCATGCTCAATGGTGGCCAGAAGGAGCCAACTCTTCCCTTTCAAAGGACTGGGACCCTGGGGCTCGTGGGGGGCTCCAGAGAGCCCTGGGTCAATGTCTATCCTAACAAATTTAGAAGTTCAAGCTGTCCCCCAGTTGCTTGTACTGTGTGTCTGTGTCCTGGATGACTTGGCCTGGGCCAGCCAGCCCTCTCCCAGGTGCAAGGGATGTCCCCAGTGTGGATTAGGCCACCTTGCTCAGGGGTACGGCTTTAAGGGTTGAGCTGTGCCTTGCTACTTGGCTTCACGGCTGAAGAAGAGGGCCTGGCCCTGTTTAGGATGCTATAGGACTCTAGGTACTGCCTTTGGCCTCTTCCCTCACATGGAGGAGTCCCCGCTCAGCCCTGGTAGCACAGGGTCTCAGGGTAAATCAGGGGGGGAGAGATGTCTCTAGTCCCACTCCCTGCTCCAAGCAGGGTCAGCCATGGGGGTCTGATCCTCTGGCTCAGGGCTTGAGCTAGTCTGGTGTTGAAAAGCTCCAAGAATGGAGATGGCACAACCTCTTGGGACACCCTGTGAAGCCATGGCACTGGTGCCCCACGATCAGCCCAAGGGAGCCCCAGAGCAAGGTGTCCTGCAGCACAGCCAGATCCCCACCACCCTTCTGGTACGGCTTCTCCTGCCCAGCTCAGTACTGGGCACGTGGCCTGGGGCTCCCTGAAAGCCAGAGCGCTAAGACATCATGTTGTCAGGCAGGATGACTCCCTTGAGGGCAAAGCATCCTGGGTAAGTCCCAAGAGTGGTGGCAGGTCCCCTCCCACCAGTGCATGGCCTTTACAGAGCAAAACCCCTCTCCACAACCCACAAACCTTCTCTGTAGATCTGACTTGAGGCTCACGCCAAAGGAGGACATGGTGAGGACCAAGACTCAAATCTTGCTGGCAAACTCCTGCCTTCACTCCTCCCAACCTCACGTTCCCCCATATATAACCCTTGTCAGTAGCTGGTGGCCCTGGGTTCAAATCCATCCCAGTTAGCCCCCAGTCAACCCAAACCTTAGCTACCTTTTGGTTCCAGCTCTGGATTTGGCCCTATGTGCCAGACACTCAGCTTTGCCCTGGCATAACTGCACTCATGTATTTTCTTTCTCCGACTTGAGACTAAGCCTAAGCCTGGCATCCATGTAGAGCTGGAAATGTATTTCCCACCGAACACTCAAATGTCAGTTCAGAGCAAACCAGCTCCAAGGCAGCTCACACATCTCACCAGACAGAGGAACCATGAGCAGCAGTCGCACGTGCACAGCGAGGGATACACCCTTTTGGAGACTTCTGCCTTTAAAACCACCAGCTTAGTCATTTTAAAGCTTGGGGAGAGCTTTGAGCCATGGCCCTGGTACTTCATAAAACCAAATATTGAGGTCATGATGCTTGTCCCACAGCCAACCCTTCTCCATGAGCGCGCGCGCACACACATGCAAGCACATCCTTTTTCTTAAAAGGGACCGTAGAGCTGAAGAGCAGGCTCTGACGTGAAGACTCAAGCCATTTTAATTGCAATTAAAATGACTCATTTGCAATGTTCTCAGCTTCCTAAAATACCTATTTCTAACAAAAGAGTCAGTCATACTTGAGCATCCAAGTATAGAGTGGATGTGATAAACTCAATGCCTTCAGGACAAAGTTCTTGGCAGTCCGTGTAATTAAACCAGCTGCTTTTCAATATGGTTTAAGACTAAATACTGCACAAACATTAATCATCAGGGACTGCTGTAATCAGCTCGGCAACCATCAGGAATTACTATTTCCACTGCAGCCATTGATTACTTAATGGTTTTCAGGAAGGGTTTGATATAGTCATGTCTACATGGCAATGCATGGAGTCTATGGGCTGCTACTTAGTTTGGAGGGGCCATTTGCTTGGTGCTCAGCAGAAAAAAATATGGAGGAATATATCTGTTTCTGGGAAAACATAGATCTCACTGCAAAGCAGGGTGGGACCAGCAACCAGCAGTTGCAAAATAGCTACTTTTGGGCTGTCTTGGCCTTTGGTCTGCCAAACACAAAGGGCCAGTTACTGGGGATGCTCGTGAAAGCAAATCATCAGAACAGGAGGGCTGAGCCTGGGAAAAGAGCTATCCCACGCCAGTGCCTGCCCCATGAACACATACAGACATTTGTGGAGAAAAAGGACTAGTTTCTCCAGTACCATGAAAGGCTTTTCCAATCCTAATTAATGCTTTGGATTAAATGTGGGACTGGGCGCTGGATGCACCTAGTCCAGTGCAGAAGTACAGGGCACTGACTCAGTACAACGCATCCCAACCCGTTGTGTTGTCTCTCAAGCCACTGCACCATCAGAAATGACTACTGCTGCTGCCTCCCCCTCGCCGGTCCACTTTCAGGGTACTTCTGGGACTTGTTGAGCTCCCCATCTCCCAGGTGGAGAAAAAGACTCAATCCGAGCACGGTTTGTCCCCTGATTTCTCCAGGCTTTTGGTCCGGTTCAAGATTTTTTTGGCCTGGATCTGGGCTCAGTTTCATCTTGAGAATAGTTGCACTGTTTTACTGAGACATACCCAAAGCAGCATAAAGGGCTATTCCCAAAATTGCTGCTGCAATCCACGCCAGAGGTGGCAGCGTTTTAGTGTGATAGGAGGAGAACAGCACAATTTTGGCATGGAAATATATCCAGTGTGCACCACAACCCTTCTCTCCCAACCTCATCTTCCTTTGTGTCCGTCTTAGCACTTTAGAGGATGAGATAGGAAAAAATCAGCTTCCCGCTTAAGTCACATTTGCTTTTCGGTGGGGATGGGGAGCTCGCTCCCAGCCGGGTGAACGCACACTTCAGTGGGCTCTGGATAACGCCCAATGTTTAGTCTCCCCTGAGATGCAGTGATGAAAGGGGCTATAGAAATACGAAGCACTGTACTCTGGTCTTAATTTCATTATCTCACCATGCAAGCGTGCAAGCCCCCAGTGAGACGCAAAGGCCCTTGCAGGCTGTAAGACACTCCCCAACCTTCAGAAAGCATCTGGCTGTGCTAAATCTTCCCCTTTGGGTCTTTTTCTTTTTTCTCCTAGATTATTATTATTTTTACTATGAGCATTAGGATATTTGCTTCATTATTCCTGTAAAAGGCCAACACTTCAACATCTTAAAAGGTTTGTCAGAGCTTTTCCATTAATATCCTTCCCTTTCATGGCACACAGGAAGAAAATATAAGTTGGTGTTGGAAGTTCAAGACTTATTTTACCAGCATGCAGCCCTTAAGGGACTGGTATCCTATCCCCGTGTGGGTGACATCTGGCCCTTTCCAAACTCAGGCCAAGCTTAAACAAATGTGTTAATGCTTAAGCATCAATAATAAATACAACTTGGTGGTGTTGGTGGAATGTAGAGCCCGTGGCATTGGAGGGGTTCAGCTTGCAGAAAGAATAGCTCCAGCTATTTAATAAATATTATTACCTAATCTTTCTACCGTCTCCTTCGTTTGGCTCTCGGTTTGCAGTCAGCCTGTTTATCCGTGTCAGCGCTCGCTGTCTGGCAATCAGGCTGCTCCATGGCAATCATTAGTCCTTCCTGTTTTCATGAGATCATGAATTATTATCTCTGCAATAAACCGTCTCTTCCTTCTCGGCTCTCTGCGCCTGGCAGCTGCCTGGGGAGGAATCCCAAAGGAATGTGTCAAGGATGCTGGCAAGGGGCAACAGCAGATTCCCATCCATAATTAGAGCCTAGGGTCGTTAACGTCAACAAGCCCCATTTCTGCGTTGAAGAAACATTGCTGAAGATGGGGAGGAAATATCTAGCCCAGCCCTTTGCACCCACCACAAACCAACCATAATGCTACATTAAAGCTAATCTTGAAACAGCTTGCCCTGACTCTCCTGACCAGTCTCTTCCCAAACCTAAGGCCTCACCATCAACCAACATTTCAATTACTCTACTCCTTTCTTCCAAGATACACCCCACCGGACCTCCTCACCCAAGACCAACCTCTGCAGTACAGCATCCGCCTTCTCCCGGTCCTCGCAACAGCCTCCCGCTCCCTCCTTGTCACGCATCCTCGCGCCAGTCAGATATACAGGGTCTCCAGAGCCTCCCTGCGCTCCCCATACTCAACCACAGAGCTTCTCATGAGGGCCACGGATGTGGGACTCTCACTCTATGGGCTTCTTTTGATGCCACAAAGGACAGATTTTGGATCTCAAGGCCAGATTCACAGGCAATTGGTTTCAGATAGGCAGTGGGTCAGGGCTTAAATTCTGCCATCCAAAGCCAATCTTTCCAGCCCATTGACTTTGAGAGATGCTGGAGAGCATCAACAGCAGAAGACACCCCAATAAACTTGGCTGCTGCATGCATGCATGCATGTGTGTGAGTATGTGCTGGCATATATGTGTGTGTATGACGGGGCAAGTCGTGGACTTGTAAGTCAGCTCAGTGGGACAGTCTGGATGCTCTTCAAGCTCCTGAAGGTTAACAACCACAACCAAAAACATGGGGGCTGTTCTGCCAGGAGGAGAATAGCCCTCAGAGGTTTTGAACGTATTATTTACAAGAAATGGGACAACGAAAGTGATTTCAAAAGGAATGGTCCTTGCTCAGTTTTGGGATTGGGAAGAGGCAGAGAAGAGGGCAATCATAAGGAGTGGGGAATCAGAGCTAGGGAATGATGTCCTATGAGAGATGCTGCAAACCTGCATGGCACCGTTTGGGGGTACAGTATGGAAGAAGACGGGGAGAGATGATGCAGTGTTAGCACATACAAGGTGGCTTTAATAGCTGTAAGCAAGATGTGTAGGGTGAAAGCTGGTATTGCTAAGTTGAAGTTCCTGGATAGTGCATCCAGCAGCTGAAGCACAAACCTAGCCACCGAACAGAATTGGTCTTTATCACTGGCAAACAGTATCCGCCAAGTCTTCCCCTGAAATTAAGTTTCTTTTTGTCTTGAAAGAAAAAAAAAAAACGAAGACCCCCTCCCCTCCGCAGACAAGTCTTAGAAATCCAGCCCAAGTGGAGCTGGCAGCCCGACGGGGCCCCAGCTGGAGAAAACTGCCGAGACATTTGCCTGTTTCGCTGCCTGCCCCGGGCGCTACTGCTTCGTGCTCTTGGCGGGCTCCGAGGACTGCCGCACATCAGTCCACTCCTGCATGGTGCTCTGCAGCGCCTGCGTCTTCTCCTTGTCCACTTGCACGTAATCAACCTTCTCGTCCGAGGCGACCGATGAGGTGGAGGGCTGCGGGGAGGAGAAACACGGCCACCGCCTGGTCACTCATCAGTTCCCTGATCTTCCCTCTCACTCCTTCCCGCAGCAGCACCGTGGGTGCTGCAAGTCCACCGACACGTCCCCTGCTTTCTTGCAGACTCCATAGCTCATCGCCCTCCCTCTAACCTCCCAAAGGGTCTTGGATGAAAGATTTCAGTCTGCTCTGCATCTTGCTTGCATGAGACTGCAGTGCAACGGGGGGGTAGAAACAGCACCTGAGTCTCTCCCTTCCCACCAACTCTGGGACATGAATGTTTGGTTGCAATCGTGGTATCTAACTGCTGATATTGCAAATTCAGCGTTGCATCTTGCTCATTTTCTTGTAAAGAACTCAAGAACCCTGCTAGATACACATAAAAATCCCAGCTCCATCCCTCTTAGCTGTGCTGACTCTACACACCTATGGCACTAGTTTATTTTCATCCCCAAAACAACAGATATGTTTGCAGGTTCACCCAGGAGACCTGCTGAGGAAGAAGGAGATACTTTTTTCCACAGTTTCTTAAGTCTTGGAACTTTGCTTCTACAAGCATTCCAGAGGACCCACCAGCTGCTTGCAACTGGAGCCAGATGATGTTTTTTAATGGTCTAAAATCACCTTTCCAGGTTGGGGTATAATTTAAATTGGTAACACTTGCAGAAATATTGCTGGGCAGAAAGAAACAATCAAGGGACAACTGTCAAATAATAAAAAGACCTAACTGGTGGGATGCTTTGTCTAGGAAACGAGGCGGTGTTTGAGAAAGTCGAGGCCAACTCACAGGTGGTTCCCACAAAGCTTTATACAACGCCTTGTCCTTCACCATCCCCTCGCCCAGACGCTGCTTTGCTTGAGCCAGTCTCTTCCAGTTTGCTCAGGGTGGCACCCAGCAGGACCTGCCTTTGGTCCCTCTCCAGCCCACTCTGTCAACCCTGGGTGTCCTCTTCATCTTGGTATGTGGCCTTGCTGGGGAGGTTGTGAAATCTCCATCATATGAGACTTTTAAGCCTCAACTGTCATATCAGGAGGGATGGTTTCCTTTGGATGTGGGGATGCCCTGAGGTCCTCCCTTGCCCTATTTTCCTATGATTCACTTTAAGATGGTGTTTGTTTCCCCCATGTATGAACCTGGAGAAAAGACACCAACATCTGGGTCTTTAGGAGCTTCCCCTTCCACATTTCTACATGACACTTGGCGGAGGCATCCCATTCTTGACCCATCTTTTCCCCACAGCTGTTTCTCACTGGGCAATGGCTTGATCAGCTCAACACAAGCTAGCTTTTAAACATCAGTTTCACTTTTTGAAAGCAGTTCGTACTTTTCCTGCCCAAATGGCACCCTTTAAAAGCACCTGACTGGCAGGAGGCAGGTGCCCAGCATTTTCTGAATGAGCTCCTGAAAATATCTCAAGTGGAAAACCCAAGTCTGGTTTTGAGGACCTGTTGTTCTGAAGGAGGAAAAAACACTTTCTGATACTTCTTGGGATACCTCCTGACAGCTTTGGAATATACAATCTCCAGCTGAATTTCTGGTCTCATCAGCATCCCTGAACCCCTACACATCCATGCTTCTGGTGACACTTCCAGCAAGGCTGCAGACATGCAACAGAGACTGAGTCTGACCTAGAATAAATATAGCAGCGGATCTGCAGGAAAAATCACTCCTCTGAGGTTACTGTGCCACTTACCAACCCTGCCCAGGGCTTTGGACCACGCTGTTTCCAATGTGCATAAAAAATCCTTAAAAAATGCATCACTTTTAATCAGAAGTTTATAAAATCCCCCGTACCTTTCTGTGTGGCCCTGGTGAGCTTGGCTGGAAGTCCAGGGCCAGATAATCCACGCTCCCTGAACTCTTTTTAGGCGCTGGGCTGTTGGTGCCACTAGGAACAGGAGAAGCAGAAATGGGGTTTTGCTAATGCAGGGAAGAGACAGGAGAGATAACGAGGATTAAAATGAGAAGAAGGAAATAAAAAAGGAATTAACACAAATTTGGCGACGAAACGCCTCAGTGGCACTTTTAAAAGAGGTCCCAGCCTGGATATGCGCTCACCTGCTTCTCTGGGACCAGGGTGTGCAGAACTGCTGGGGGACTATATATATTGTATATTGTGCTAACAAATTGATTTTCTGTATTGGAGCAGTTCTGCTGCCTTTGTGCTGGTTTTATTCACATGCCTGACATCAGACCTGGGCTTCAGCATTTCCCAGGAACCACACCTCAGTGAGGCCAGATCACCTCTGGGATCTTCACTAATCACAACCACGCTACGCAGAGCCCAGACTTCCTCTACTCCCTCAGTTACACAGCCTCAAAAATATGCTTCAAGTCAGCAGCTTTGCAAAGAGAGACAAAATCCCCTCCCTGTAAGCAGTGCCACTCCCTGCTGCTGCTCCGATAGCCCCTGCCCTCCACATAAACATAATGACAGCAGCTATTAGTGGAAAAAAAACCCTGAAAAAAATCAACTTAAATTAGGAAAATAGACTGCGGCAGTCCATAGATGTTTTTATCCCCTCTTAATTCCTGGCAAAGTAGGTGATATATGTTCCTACTCTCATATACAGTTAAAACCCCAACAAGACATGTCATTTTAGGAATGAAAGCCACTGCTTTGTGCATGTAGGGATGTACGTGAGATCTACACCACATTCATCACGGTGCTATCTGAGCACTTCCATGTCATGAGTTAGGAATGTGTTTGCAGAGCTGGGGAACGTATACGTCCTGCCAGGTCCATATATCTTAGCTGTGGGGCCCTTACCATCGCCACGTAGTTCTCCTCGCTGTCTCCCGAGTCAGTGCTGGTGATGCTCTGGGAGGAGACAGGGCGACAGTATTGCAAAGAGCCGGCATTGAAGGTCTGGCTGTAAGGACAAGGGTCAACGCGTTAATGATGGTTGCAGGTGCTGCTTGTCCATTGCCAAGGAGGGATGGGAGAGGGCAGCACCTGATGCCTCCAAACATCACCATGCTCAGATCTGGGGACAGGGCATGAAGAAGAGCTGGTGGCATTGAGGTTCTCCTAACCTGACCTTCCCACAGGTGAGAGAATCACTGGGTTTGGTCTTCTCGTTTTTTTCTTTCTAGGCCTTTTCCATAACACCTCGCTTGGTGTTATGTACCCATAACTCTCCTGCTATCAGCTCCACGAATCAGGCTCCATGAACTCTTTTATCTCACAGGAAATATTTAATTGTGGAGGATGCAGGGCCAACCTCAGTGGAGCTTCTCCCCACCAGTCTCACCGCAGCTCCAGGATTTGTTTACCGTGCAGGGCCCTATCCGACTTTTTTGCTGGAAAACAAAACCTCCGAGGCATCGTCTTGCTTTCAATTGGCCAAATCTAATTATACAGAATAACATAATGCAATCAGCATCTGGCATTAAAGCTCGCATCTTAAAAAGCTATTTGTTGTCTTGCAGTAAAGGCAGGGTCATATGATTAGCCGATAAGGGAAAAATCCATTAGCTTCTCCGGGGTCGGACGTCTTGTCAATCAAACCCCGCTCGCTGTTTCCTGATGCAGTGATTTCAGCACACAGGGCTCATGCCCTGCAGTCAGTCTCCACACAATCCAATTTATTAGAGGAGTCATAGCAGCCAAGCTTTGCTTCTGCCTTTCATTCGACAACATCAGACCACGAATTAGCAGCAGAACTGGAATTGTGCGAATCCTGTTATTTTTGGCCGGCAGACTTTGCTCTGAAGTGCTTTGGTTTCATTTTGCAGACTTCCTTCAGGCTAAGCTTTGCTTTCAAGGCAATCAAAATACAGCTCGGTCAGACCCTGTGAGTGTCACCCTGCGTTTTGAGACTACAGCGGGGTTTTTTGGGGAAGAGCTGAATGTGAAATCGTGCCCCATGCCCCCAGTGCGGCCGAGTCGGGGTGGCTCAGCTGGGTCACGAATGATGGTGGACCACAGGTCCTGTGTCAGAGCCGCAGCTCTCTGGGTGGTGTCAGATCCCAGAAATAGGAAATGTCTTCAAGGGATCTTAATTAGCTGCTCGGCCACATGCTGGGCTTTCATGTGAAATCCTGACCTAAACGAATTTATTGTCCTGCCACCAGCTGTGATGTGGGGAATATGACTCTGGCTCTTACAACACTTGACTAAACCCATGAGGGCTCCAAGAGAGGAGCCCCTCTGCTTCAACAGCATCTGACTCAGGTCCTAAGTCTGGCCATGATGTGACCGAGGAAACCCCTGAGCCCCAAATCACCAGGGTGTGGCAGGATATTTTAGGAAAGAATTACTCCATAAATGCCCCTCTTCCCAGATAGCTCCTGCTGGTCCCTGATGGGGGGAGGGTGTTGGGCAAGGTGGACTTTCATCCTAGTGCAGATGTTTGCATGGCATGACCCAGCTCTGCAGCTCCTGTTTCTAAAATTGACAAAGAACACAATGAGGGCTGAAGGGATTATCCAGCTTTTGGGGAAATTCAACTCTGCATCCAAAGTCCCTTCAACAAAAAGAGATGGTGGGCCAGAAGAAACCTCTGCAGCGAGCGGAGGCAGAAGGGCAGATGACATCCCCCTTACACTCAGCCAGAGATGTTTAATCCATGGCAGAGGTGACAGCGTGGCTACACGTGGACACCAGCGAGAGGAAGACCAGAGATCTGCTGTCGGAGCAAAGCAAGAATTCATACCCCAACCTTTACTCACGTTGGCCTGGACCAGGATTTCGTGACTGGCGATTTGAAGGGAAGCTCATCAATGACGGTGTTGTTCCTCAGGTCCAGTGGCGATGGCTTTGCTGGGGAAGGGAAAAGCCTTGATTCAGAAGCAGCGCGTTCCTACAATTCAGCGTCCACGACTGGCATGAGAGGGTCCCCAACAACTTGCTGTTTGCTTCCCGTTCTGCTAATCAGCCCCGCAGCCCTCCTTGCTGATGACAAATACCCCCAACCAAAATCCCTGCACTCATTTATGCCAGGACTGGGGGAAAACAGTGAATTTCCCCTCTGACCTACAGCCCCAGACTGGATGGGTGGCCCCAAAAGGGCAATGTGCCTCCCAGGGAATGGAGATCTGCTAAAAATGCCCAAACCCAGGGTATAATAAACCCATTCATTAGGGAGCTGTGATAACCCATTAGACGGGGCAAGACCAGGCGCTGACAGCCCTGAGCTGCCTCTGGCCAGAGCGCTTCCCCATAGAGAATGGGAAAGGACATCTGCAGGGTAACATGAAAGTGCTTCTCATCACGGGTGGTTCATTAGGTGGAAGAGAAGACCGCTGTGCTCCAGCCCCAGCTCTCACCTAGCACGTTGATGGGGTTAGGTGCTGACGCCCTAATGATGGGAGCCCTCCTCCTCAGCATCTCTTGGTGACCTGTCAGGCAATGGTCTGGGGAGGGATTTGGAGGATGTAGGCAAAGCCCTAAGGGAAGAGCTGTCTAGATCCAGCCAGTAGGAAACAGTAGGAGAAATTTGGGTCACCTGAATGCAACACAGAGATTTTGGAGTGGAGCGTAGGGAGGGGTGAAGGCAAAGGGGGTGAGGTCCTGCCTGTGACATGTATCTCCTGTAAAGGCCAGGAATTTGAGACAGGCTGTTCAAGCACCACGAAAGCTGCATTTGCACCATAGTCCTCCTGAAAGAGGAAGGGGATGGGGAAGATCTGAAGGTCTGATGTGCTGGTGGTGGCAAAGCACACCCCACATAAGACTCCACTGAGTGTGCACAAGATGACAGATGTAGTCCAAAGTATTAAAAGAATAGAAGGGTTCCTGGAAAGATTTGCCCACAACCAACCATTCTTACCTTTCCGGTCGGGTTTGAGGTTGCGGTTGACTGGTGGGGGCTGGATTTCACTCAACCGTCTATGGCACTGTGCCATGGCTCCTCCTTTATGCACAGGGAGGGTGGCTGAGGACAACCCCATCAGGTCAAAGTGATGCGGCCCAGGGCTCATGGGGATGTAGAGATTTTGGGCATTGTCGTTGGCTTTCTCGGTGTGCATCAGGGGCGAGGAACCAGGGTTCATGGGGACGTAGTTGTCCTCAGAGTCGGTGCTGTGGGAGCGTGCCACTGCTGCCTTGGCTTGCTGGGGGACAAGCGGGAGGACGTGCTGTGAGCATCAGACACTGCTCAACCTCATCCCACCATAAACCCCTTCATCTCATCATCACTGAACACAGACCTGAGGTGGGACCAGCTCTAAAATCTCACCACAGAGGGAAGGGATGGTCTGTCCCCTCCTTGGCCATCAGTTTGCACTGAGAGGGACTACCTCCACTGTTTCCAAGACGTTGCAACATCCTGAGTTCAGGGAAAGGTCTTAATTGCCCAGACTTGAGCTTCTTCTCATGATCAGAGTGAGCTGCAGAAGCATGCTTAACCTGGAAAGTAATTTTTCCCTGGGCTCTGGCCATGACTAAAATGCAATATGAAAGGCTGCTTTAATGCCATTTCCAGCTCAGAAAATCTTAGAAAGTGCACAAAAGAGGCTGTTCTGGCAACATGACAGAATTAATCTCAGCAGCATCCCAGGCTTTGGAGAAGCCAAGCTCCTGGGCGCTTTTTTTTTGGGTCAAAGCTCCAGGCAGACACACTCTGTGGAAGCACCCAAGCAAAGCTCTGCATGCGGTGCTGGGCTAGGTGGTTGTCCCTCTCTCTCTACCCTGCAGGCCACCACAGTTTTAACAGAAATCAGTAATAAAACCCCTTCTTTTCTTGACTTAGCTCTGCAGGACTGGGCTGTGAGGTCCCACCCAGAACTGACTTGTCTTTGAATCTATAAGGTGCAAACAGTGCCTATAGCACTGTGGCCAACTCACCAGGTAGGAGTTGTACCCATCGTTCATCGACTCGACTGACTGCACAGCGCTGCCGCCTCCATGCTGGGGGTATTCATACGTCTCGCAAGAAGAAGCTGCAACACAACCACAAATGCACATGTCCCAATGCAACTGCTAAGAAAAGGGGCCCCTGAAAACAAAATCCAGGTACTGGGAGGGCGGTATCTGTTCTTGATGATTGAGACGCTGGTGGGAAGATGTGGTTTTTAGCCCATCACAGACTCCCTGTTATGCTCCCTCCCAATCAGCATCTCTCTGATGCGTCAACGCAACAGCACGTGCTGCACGGACCTAACCTGGTTCTGTCAAAGTGCTGCAAAATCCCAGGGGTGAAGACATCAGATAAGGTAGATCATGGTGACAAAACTGGGTTAACAGAGAGCTCTGTTACAGCTCGCTCGGCAGGTGTAAGGGCTGGCAGCCTCTGGTAAGGGGAGGATGAGGTCAGGATGGGGTGCTAAGCTTTTAGACTGGTCTATCTACTGCTGAGCATGGGTCTGAGCTCAGCCTAAATGTTGGTATTTAGGTAGGAGGAGATGGAAGAGGCATTTCAGGGAGCTGTGTGTATCATTTACAGTATGTTTTCTCTCCGACCACCTCTTCTAAGTTACTTTGCAACTATCTCATCCTAGGCACAAGGTTTGGAGAGGGCAAGCTCATCCATGGCCCATTCATGGCCAATGGGAAGGGCATCTCTCCTGCACTGGGCGTGTCAGGTCTTGGAGATGTGCAAAATTATGTCCCTCTCTGGTGAGCAAAACCAAGGTAGCTCCAGTGCGTTCTGATAACCCTGGTTATGAACTGAACTAAAAGCAAGCTACAAATGGCCAAAATCACCAAAATCTGGTGAAGGGCTGCATGGGCAAGCAGGTTTGGGGTTTTGGTTCAAGGCACAAAACAGCCAAGAGCCAGCTGAGCAGCTCGGATGCGCAGAGCCCTGGGGATGCCTCTCCATGCTCATTGCATACAAAATACAAATCCTCCCCAGGGAGACCTTCTTTGTGTTCACCCCCCTGGCCGATGCCAGCAGCCACCCCAGCCCAACTGCAACTCAGTGGGAACACTCCATCCAGGGCTGCTAGACAGGACAAAGCCACCCCCTGTTCCCCACCCCCAAATTTACCTCGGTGCAGCCTGCTGTTCTCCACCGCTGGCAGCGTATTTCTTCGGGGAATGGTGGCTGCCATGGGGGCCAGCCCTAAGCTTTCGCCGGGCTGGGGCCGCTGGGGTGGGCTGCCCCACCGCGGCT